CACCCACCGGTACTCTAGCGGACTAGGGTGTAGCGGCATGAGTAAAAAGGAAAAAGGCTACAGTTCAAATTCGAATAGTTAAGGCACGCCTGGTGCAGATTATGCACACTCGCAAGCTCCGACATAAACACTCTTTCCTTCCTCTTCCGTTCATGTACGGATTCACCTTATTTAACGTTTTTTTTCTTTTCTTTCTTCCTTTCTTTTTCTCTTTCTCTCTCTTGCTTTCCCACTCTTGTAGGAATAGCCTTTTTGGGCTGAATTGGGCGTTGTTGCTATGGTAGGTAGGGAATGTTATCATGAGGTGCTCACAAGGTTAAGCGGGACGGGACGGAGGGAGCGGAGGGGGGTGGAGGAGGTTCAGGATGAGTGGGAAGTGTCTCAATTCCCCAATTAGCACTTAACGCCGCCGCATAAACTCCCCCTAGCAAAAGTTTTTTTTATATGGGCTCGCTCGTCTTCCCCATGAATATGGTATCCTCATTCTCGACTTTCGCATTCCGGTGTGAAAATCTATGGTACATTTGTTGGTGGCGCTTTTCCGTATCGCGAGATTTTAGTGCATACATACGGTACCGCTACAGCTGCAAGATTTCTTCTGGTCCCTTGAAAAGAGAGCAAAAAAATAAAACAAGGGTCTGTCCGAGCCATTTGGAAGCTTGAGCTTCCAGCATGGTTGCTCTCAGGTTGCACGCTGGGGATCCAGTAGATGGGCGCGTTAGCTCACCCTCTCGGCGTCCTGTGATGCCCTGTCGTTTTGGCCCCAGTGATTCGTTGTTTGCACCTCGTGGGGTAGGTAACATTCCTCAGAATACCGGTACCATATTTGAAGAGAGAGGGGGGAGAGGTGCCCTTACCAAGAAGGACTTGGTACAAAGTTCTTCCCACCTCACCTTGGCATTACCGGAAACGGGCACTGCTTCGACCTACACGGGAAGCAACCGCGATTAGCGAACAAGAAAGAGTGGTTTTGAGCAGCCTGTTAAGCGATAGAAGTTAATCGCCATTTCTGGCGAGGTGTTTGGCTCGGAATCGAAGCACAGCGGGAAGGTGCTGACTTTTCCTTGCCTTTTCCTACCACGATACCATGGTTTTCAATTTTGCT